GCGCGAACATGGCGCGAAGCTCACTGCATTTACGGAAAAGAGAGCAACGTGATTGACACGGACTGTATGTATGTCTGTATGTCTGTATGTCTGTATGTCTGTATGTACGTATGTTCCGAATAGAAAATTCCATTTCTGAACCGATCGGGACCAAACTTGGCACACATACACTTCGGGCCCCGGCGGGTGTCATAGGCTACTTTTCGTATCGATCGATATCGATTTCATCGATTTTTTGCAAAATTTGAGCTACGGGGCAACTCCCAGCCCCGTAGCTCAAATTTTGCAAAAAATCAATAAAATCTATATCGATCGATGACGAAAAGTAGCCTATGACACCCGCCGGGGCCCGAAGTGTATGTGTGCCAAGTTGGTCCGGATCGGTTAAGAAATGGAATTTTCTATTCGGAACATACGGCGGAGCCGGGTAAGCCAGCTAGTTTTGAATAAGATCCTTTGAAGCTTTGTAGCTTTCTAACAAATGAGGTTGGAAGCCCGTTTTTACTATTATCAGACAGAGCAAGAAAGGAGCATTACAATGGTTTGCTGTATCTCCTCTAAAAAATTTTTTTGATGGAGAAAACTTGACCTAAAGAAACGTGAAAAAAAGCCATTATTTTTGCATGGCTAATAAGAAGCATGAGATTTGCATCAAATCCGATCCAATTTATGGTCCGCCTAGAAACTGTTTGCGATCACAAACACAAATTCGCTCTTTTGTTCTACCAAACAGTAATATCTCAGCGTAAATACCCCCACTAGAACTCGCCAATCTTTTCAAGACAGATTGAACAAGATTTCGAAAGATTGGAGTGTCAAGTATTTCAAAGTGCATTTTGCGACATTAAATAGTGCATCCTGCCCATATTTCCAAAAACAGGTGTTCCATCGTCTGAAAAGTAGGACGCGCGTCACATTCATATTTGCAAAATGACCGATACCTGCGTTCTGCAGCGCCTATTACCACCAATTTCATGTATTCATAAAATTGGGTCTATTGAATCCTTCAACTGGAACAGACCAGTATGACAAAGATTCTTCCTGGCGGAAATGTTAGGTCAACACAATTTTGTTTTTCTGCCAATCCGGATTGTATGCTATATCTTGTAGGAGAACGTGACAATTCTGGATTCTCAGCATTTATCCTCTTGTGATTGTTGCCAGGTTCCCAAGGAATCTTTTTTCCTAAAGTTTGCTTTTCAACAAAATCCTATGAACTCTAACTCGTGACTGTGTTCTCTTTGGCTTAACTTTTCCGCTTTGTAAATAGATCTGGAGCGGGGCTTGGGTTACAGCGAGAATTCTTGTATAAGTTCCCACTTGCTTTTACCTTCTTCTATGCAGTCTTACACCGTTTTGATTTTTGATTTTCATATATAAAATTCTTATAAAACTCTCCTAGCATCTGGGCTACATATAGTACAAAATGTCAAGAAACTTAATCTTAGTCTTTTGAGCGAAAATCAAATTGGTCCCGAACTGATAAGGTCCTTATTGTGTTTTAACTTACCGTCATTTTTGCAAAGGCAGTCATGTCCTTAATTTACGTCTTCTTTCAACTGTTGTTTGACTTTTGAATGTAGATAGCTAGATAATCAACTAAACATTAAATTATAACTATTGTTGTTCCAAAAGTAATTCTTGAATAATTTAATTTGTTTTTGTTTTCCCAGTATATTTAGGGTATCATGCGATAGAGCAGATCAAGTTTTACAAAATGACCTCCAAAGGTCCGTCTATTGTAAGTCGCCTTCCATGTAAATGAAGCCAAAGTCGAAAAAAATTTTGTCACCTGAAAATTGGATTTTTGCGAAGAAAAATCCTGCGGATCTCCAACTTGGTCATTACACAGTAGGCACATACATGTACTCAAATATGCCTTTACCGGATTTTTTCCGCGCATAAAACGCGAGAAAAATAAGATAGTCTAAAAATGGCAAACTTCGCCCCCAGTCTCACATATGCCACTGTAACTACAAGCCTTACTAAGTATAAAAGAATTTCACCCGTGCGGGTGCTCTTATAATCGAGAAATACTAGGTTTTACATAGAAAATCCGAAAAAGTGGCATTCTGGCATTTTGGGACCACCTTTGTTCCTCAATTTTGAGCACCGGAAAAAAATTCATCAAATACATTTTTGGGTACTACTGTGTGTCTACATATAAAGACCAAGTTGGAAGTCCATAGGAATTTTCTGGAAGGAGATCCGAATTTTAGGGTAGCTGAAAAATTTTAATTTTTGGCTACATATTATACCTGGGTTATAAACTGGGTGGATCTTTGGAAGTATTTTTGTAGAGCTTGTTCCGCTCTACCAAATGGTACCCTAAATCTCTCAGAAAACAAAGCCCAAGAAAAGGTCTATTCTGAATAATATGTTCATAACAGCTAAAAAGGTCTCTTCTGGCGTTGAAGAACGTACGGCATCTTTGAAGTTGGCTAAAGAAGTTGCAGTATCTAATGGATATTTGCAAGTGAGTGGCGTCAATGGTAATTTTCCGAATAGATGCATACCGCATGAGCAAGTCACCCAAAAAATATCCTTTTGCATACCTTTCGTAACGGACGATTTTAGCAAAGCTGTTAGGAGGAGTTTACATCAAGCAGGCTTGCAAGAATATGTTCGAATTGTAGACATCCCTCCTCCCAATCTCAAAAAGCAGTTAATCCGCAATCGCGCATATTATAGTATTTGCTCAACATCAAATCGCGTAATATGTCCCTTTGGAAGACCAGGTGATTGCTTAAAATGCGGGGTTGTCTATCTCATTACCTGTCAAGTATGCGGTGAAGAATATGTGGGAGAGACCGGACGACTATTGTGTCTACGGATCAAAGAGCACTTGGTTGGACTCGCAAAACGCAACGCATCCACCCCTCTAAGTGCACATAGCAGAGTGTCGCACGATAATATGCCGTTTAAAATTGCTGCCACAATCTTGTCATACGAAGAAACTATTCCACGCAAGACACTCGAAGCATTTTGGATTACATCACGTAACCCCAAAATGAATAAAAAGGACGAGTGCATCACCGTAATCAAAGAGTTATCACCGTATCAAAGCCTTTGCGGTTTTGATTACCAAAGTATAAACAGCATGGAGAACAAAAACGTACCATCACTTTCTGCACAGCTTGACCACGAGCGGTCAATTCCCTCGACTGACGTCGAATAAGGTAAAGCATGTTCTAGCTCTTTGCTGGTCTCGTGCTCAACTCAATTGAATCGTACGGTAACGAGAGCTCAGTATGTACGCCACGTATGCGTTTTTGGCTACAGGCTCTGAAGACGGCGTTGGCGCCGAAACGTTAGCCAAGTAATAAATTGTTATCATACCAATCTTGGCCACCGCTCAACAACAAATCAAAAGATATTAAATTATGCCAAGATTCATAGAAGGTGGAACTTGGAGGTCAGAGCCCAAGTTATTTGAAAATTGGGTTTACTTTTTGGACAACTCAATACTAGACGAAAACAGTTGTGAAAATATGGCAAATTTCACTTCTACCTTAATCAAAAGAACTTGTAGGCTGTAGTCGTCGAAATGTTCATCTCAAATAAATTTCCAATGAGAATTGTCCTTCGTCATTTTTTTATCGACTATAATTTACGAGTACAACAACTTCTAACTATAATGACGCTATGGTCACAAAGAAAAAATGTCTGGACTATAGATATAACTCCTAAACATGCTAAGAATTGTAAGACCACTATAGCACGTACAAAAAAGAATAAACAGCTCTGCCTCTTTCACTTGTATTCAGAATTGCCAATCTCAAAGGTGTATGGTGCAAGCCCCATATTGTGCAGCTCCAAATTTGACGTAATTGACGGTGCGATGCTTTTAACCGAGGAAAATCTAGAATTCTTTTGACGGAGGAGATCCATCCCAAACACTTCACTTCGCCAAGAAGAGTCAATTAACTCACAATTTTCACTCTGGAAGAGGCCAGCTGCTGACCGATTTTCGCGCTTCGTCGGTTATGAATGGCTTTTCGAAAAGACAGTTCCTCACTCCTTCGAAAGTTTTCGATGATATATCTATAGACCAGTGGCGGACCGAGGGGGGGGGGCGCCCCCCCCCCGAGAATAGGTCGCGAAATTTTTGAAACTTACCTATATGGGTTGTAAAAATGTGCAAACGACTTGTTTGCACTTGAAAATAATTAAAATAATTTTCAAAACTTTTTAAAAATTCATTTTAGCTTTATAAACACGCCCCCTTTTTTCAGACTTTAGGGGTCGGGGACCCGAAAAAATTTTGGGAAGCACCCCCAAAATTTTTTCCGAGTGCTTGGCGTTAGCCACGACTTTCTTCAGAAAAAATTTTTTGTCGCGCCCCCCCCCCCCGAGCCGAAATCCTAGGTACGCCACTGCTATAGACATGTGCTTTCTTCGTTATGCAGTGAATGCAGTCACTTCTCTCATTTTTTTCATTTGAACTTTGTTAGGTTTTATTCCGTCAGAACTTTTTTTCTAAAAATTTCCGTCAGAACATTACTCTATCGAATTTAATTGAGTAAGGTTTGAATTTTTTTAGTTTTTGATTTTATTTTATTGGACTACAGCCGCTCTGCTGCCGCTCCTGGGATTGACACCACAAAATTGTGAATAAATCGATAAATCGATAGAAGCGGTCACAAAGGGAAGTAACGATAGGTTTTAAAACGTGATGAGCATGCTTACCCAAAACAGTCATCATAGCTTGACAGAGCATATATTGCAAGAAATCAATGAATCGATAAGAACAATTTCATTGACATCTTAGGCAGGTCTTAAGAAAGTTAAGCAGAAAACGCTCAAAATCGATATTCGATGAAGCCAATCCATGATTCTTTTACGGGGAGTTTGTTAACAGTTATCCGCCCCTGTATGTTACGCCTGAGGGGGGGGGGTTCAAATCCCTCAATTCTTTCTACCATTTTAGGCCGATCATGAAATCGTCTGGTCCAGATGTTACATAAGTACTGATTGACATCACAAATGCATGTTTATAGTTCCCGCGCATAACAAAGTCTGAATTGGAGCAGTACTACCTGTTGCTAAGTGTTTGGCATAAAGATCTTCTCGCACAAAACGCACCTATTGGAGAGGTAAGTTTCTAGCGCTTTTAAAATAAATAGATTTCTAGAAATCTTAAGGCGTCGATAAGCCTCCGTGACTACGACTGGGACTCACCTTGTCCCTTGTGGTATCAACTGGAAGGGAAGATGGTCGGTCAGTGCTTTTGTGATTGTGGTTGAACTACCTGTTGTTGTCGCTTGTGCATGCGTTGTAGAACTCCTCAAATTCCCGGATAATTCCAGGAAATTCCTCCGGATCCATGTCCATGGAAACCAGCGAAAGCGAGCGTGCACATTCGCCTGACGTTCTCGCTTTGGGACCGCGAACGACGGATCGGCCCACTGTCCCTGCTTCTACGAGACGTACGATTTTCCGAAATGCCTCCACAAATTCTAGCACATCGTCACGCAACTCTCGTGGCGTCCGCGTAAGTTCTTTGTTAGATTCAGTTTTGACAAAAAGAATTACTGCGCTGGTAAAATGGTTAACAAGTTGGACCTTAATTCACACAGTTTACCTCGGTAGTTCTCACAATGGGTAAGAAAGTAAAGACAAGCTTGGCTCAAGGGTCTCAGGGATACAGTGACCGCCGCGAATCGTAATCATCATGATGCAACGCCGCTCGTTTCACTGCTCATACATTCGTGAACAGCTGTCTACTTAGAAGGTTGTGCAAAAAATGGTTCATCATTTCCGGGGGGATGGTCGTCTGCCCTTTTTTTTCGGATTTCGGATTATAAATCCCTAAGTTTCTGAATTCATCTCAGTTTATTAGGAGGGAGTGATCAACGCTCCTTCTCTATCAGAAGCAAATCTTTCACGCTGCTCTTCCCTCCCCCCCCCCTCCCCCAAGAAAATTTTCCCGAATCACTACTGCTAAGCGCATCTGGTGTCTTTGTCTATAAGGCTTACTCATGGATGCATCCTACAACCAATGCTGAAACACATAAATACCAATGCTGAAACACACAAACACTGTTCGGCTGTCATCTCCGCATGAAGAAGTAAAATTTGCTGAACGTAGTATTTCCTAACTAGCTTGATCTCTTTCAAAATGGACCAAGAAAATTGCGTTTCCAACTTGCTGAGAACACGAAAGGGGAACGAGTAGGCAGATAAAAGAAGCAGTGTCTTCTCCCGCATAGGTGCGTTTGGTTTGAATCCACATCTAACGAAAACTCTGTAGTAATCTATGACAAGTCATATTTTGTTTATTTTGGGTACACTACCTTTCTATTCTTTTTTTACATGTTCTACTGCACCATGCGATCTCAGGCCATCAGCTTTCCGTTATCCTTTACCAGCTAAGACAAAAGAAGCTGAGGATCTTGCAGTCATATCTTCACGAGCGGTAAAACAATGCGCGACCTAGATGCAGACAAGCTTCTCATAAACTTTACACAATGTGTATCCATTTCCTCTTGTGCTATAACAACAAAGTTGATTTATATCGTTATACCCTCTAGAACTTGATTCAGAAAAATTGCCTTTCGAATTCCGCGTGTGCAGATTTCATCAGCCGTAAATTTGTCTATTATTGATGTGACTATGATTGTTCGCGGAGCACCTTTTTACATGATAGCAAGCTAAATTATCCCTTTGCTTCTTCCCTCATAGCTTGATATTTGCGAACGCCGCCAAACAATAAGAGTTACTTTGAATGAAAGCCTCTATGCTGCGCTTTGATTCACGTTCTGTTTGTTTTGTCAATACTCTCTGATTCATTCGAAATTACTGGCAGGACACAATTATTCTGAAAATCGAAGCCGATAAAGTGCAAAGGTGCATGCGTTGCAAACAAGCTCAGCAGTAACGGGAGGTCATATTAGGTTGGAAAGAAAAGGATATCGCTTTTTTTCGCCTTTTCTCAGCTAAAATCCATATATCCCAGAATCCAGATCATATCAAAAGATAGAATTTTATAGTTAAGGTTTCGAAGGTTTTTAGTATACAATAGCATGAATGGGGAAAGTTCAAGACTACTAGGGACAAAGTTTGCCATTTTCCGTTTTCTCATTTGGTTTCTAAGCAGTTCCCTTTCTCACTTTTCCCTCCAAATTCACACACAAATAAGTGTTCAGATTTGAAAATTTCAAACGAAGAATCGAATTTAAGCACCATGCATCTCAAATTTCAGGTGAACATTTGTGCGAATATAAATTTATTGTCCAACCAAGGAAAGCGCAGAAAAAAAAGTTTCTTTCCAGTCCTCCTTCCTTAGTCTTTGGCTTCTATTTGAAGGAGTTTCCTGATAATCAGACTGAACTGAATAGACGAAGTGTGTCAAAAATATCGGAACCTTTTTTATTGCAGAAAGCTGTACTTCAACGAAAAGCGGATGGAGCAGAGGAGGAGCGAGAACCGAAAAAGGTTGCAAGCAGAAAGTCAGTGGAACTGGAGCACGACATTCCCTCGCCTAAATCTAAACGATCTACATCTAAGGTAAGCATAATGTAAAAATAGGTGTATTTTGTTCTGTCATACATGTGCAGTGAGTAAATCCGAAATTTTTAGTCAGCTTACGCATGAATTTTTTCGACTTAACATCTTTGTTGTACCATGAAAAATAACGAAGTTCAAATTTACGCAAAGTAAGCAAATAGCAATTCAAACAGAATAAGAATTTTTTGCACAATGTAGGTCTTATGATCGACTCTGAATTAAACCATAATTAGAGCTTATATGTATAAAACATGCGTACGAAATGAGTAACAGATTGTTCATACGTCAAGAAGTCTATAATGACATTAAATATATTTGCAGGAGTCTGAAATTGAAGATCAGGCTACAGACTGGACCATTTGGATATAAATCTATCGGTATGCTGACGTTGAATGATTATGAACATAGACGGGGTAAGGATACGTGTATGAGCTAATCTCAACAAATGTACAAATCTTTCTTACAGGAAGAAGTCTCTCGCAACCATGTTGCTGTGTTTATTGCTCGCCTTGGAAAAAACTTATTGATAATCCATCTGTTCCTGTTGAAGTTGAATTACCGTTGACTATAATAAATAAATAGTCGGTACTGCAGTGCAACAGTTTATATATAATTAGTACGAACTCAAATCGAAGTTGGTCATATGCTTTAACAAAAGACAATAAGCATGATTACAAACAAAGACATTACAGAGTGGGGATACAAGTTCCAAGCCTTCATCAACAGAAAGTGGGGATACAAGTTCCAAGCCTTCATCAACAGAACCACCAGCAAACCTCTGCAGCCCACCACTCATAAAAAGTTTTTGTTCCTAATTTTACAACTTCTGGATTCTCTTTCTGACTTGTGGTGGAGGGTGTAGTACTTGTGGTCGTGGTCGTGGTCGTGGTGCTTGTGTTCGACTGGTCAGATTTACCGAACGTTGGATCAAAAAACGAGTATCCACCTGCTAACGAGACCCATCCAAATGCTTTGTGAATGACGAATGTCACAATAAAAACGACTAACGTCTGAAATACGAAATTTAGCTCTATTCTAATAGGGAAAGACAATTGGTCCTGGCCCTTCGTAATGACAGACATACCACTACTGAAACGTTGATCACAAGTCTGCTTTCGCTATCTGCTAAGCGATTGTCTGATTAGAGTTATGAGCTTTTTTCGTGCAATTTTTGCGCATTGGAGCATAGTCAAAGTCGTTGTTATCTAAGTTTTCTGAGATTATGGGTAATTGAGACAGGTTATTTGAACTCGAGGTAGTTGCGCTCTCCTTCAAATGTTATTCCAAGGAAAAAATTTATGCGATGTTCTTAGTTTTGCTCAACTGAAACAGTGCGATTCTTACGAAAAAAAGTTTATAACTTACTTCAGGCAATCCTTAGCAGATGACAAGAGCAGATTTGAAATCAGCGTTCTAAGGCGCATCTAATAATATGTGTTTCTTTACGAAAGGCCACAGTTACCAAGTATCCTCCCCTGTAAGTGATTTAAGACCCAACTTACAAGGCGAAGTAAGCAAGACATAAGAGACTAAACAAGATTTGTGCAGCCTGCAACTCGACCGAAACAACGAATGAGTGCGCTAGGTTTGGTGGCAATAATGAGCTTTTATGTCAAAGATTTACTCTATTCAGCTGATTTTGTAAAGTACATTCATGCTCGTACTCAAAACAACACCCTACTGCACTCTTTCTGAGATTAAAAGCGTTGTGTTACTTCGCTTTGTAATCCAAGCGACCACAAAATTTAGTTCGTCGAATGAGCAAGAGACAGCAGTCAATAATGCTGCACGAATAGGCTTTTGTAGCAAAAGGGGGTTGTGTAATAAGGGCCTATAGTTTTCGTTACCGCACGGAATGGACATCATTGCGGAGCAGGCGACGCGTAGAACGCTTGCCCAGTTCAAATTCGCCATTGTACAAGTCGTACTCTCGCGACAAGTCAGCCGCGTCGAGCGTGGTCAGCAGCGTTTGAGCAGTCAACAAATCGACGATACACGGCGGCTAAGGCTAAAAACGACGTTATGAAGTTTAGAGGTTCGAACAACTATATAGGCTCTTGCATGAAGAAGGCGCGATTTCTTCGGGCGCGAACGCGGCTTTATTAGCTGCAAGGTGCATGAGGTGCAGATACCCTTTGGTTCAACAGGATTGACGGCTGGAATGCGACCGCTCGCGCTCGCGACACACTCTGCGTCTCTCTCGCGTGCGTATTTGCTAATCATTCCCTAGCCTTGATTAGGCCTCAAGCCCCGCCTTCCAGCCACCAATCTCGTTGAATAAAAGGGTACAGGAAGTTTCGATCCGCTTTAGGCGGAAATTGGATTGGCGGGAGTCCGCCTCGCGATAGCTCGCGCCGTTTCGCAGCTACAGTATATCCTATCGTGCTGAGAACCCATGTCTGCGTCTCTTCAATCTCCTTAGTCTTTTCTTGGCAAAATGCCAGCGCTAAGCGCTCGCAAAGCCTCCAGCGATGCGCATGCGCCGCTGCACGTAGAATGTCTCGCCTAATCCGGGATGAAACCGACTGTACTACGCTGAAGATATGCGCGCGCCGCGTGCACGTCCGTTCAACTAATGCTGCTTCTGCGCCTTAGTCATGTAGCAGCCTTTGAATCTCTCTTTACTAGAAAGCTTAAGCACATGTGAGCGGTCTAAATTCGGATGCTCCGTGAATAAATAATGCTATCATGAAGATGACTGCTGTCTACAGGATTCTGAGCGCGTTGTAAGCATTGAAAAACAGCTTACAATGCGGAAGCAGAAATACTTTGTAGTAGCTTTGAAGATTGCAGTTTTATGTAAGTTTGGTGGAATAGAGGAAAACAGCGAATAAAGTTGGGGTTTTATTGTAGAAAATCCACGGCAAACGATTATTCTTTTTAGTTTTCTGAACATTCGTAAACGTAGTCAGAACAACTTTAGTGCAGTGTGCAAAACCAAAACCAAACCGCTTTGTGATCTTTTTATTATGACTGTTCTCGAAATTGTTGCTTATGAAGAGTGTGACTTTTTTGGAAGCGGAACTGAAGGCTGTTGTTATTTTGGTACATAAACTTCACATTTACAATCAAAGGCTGTTGTTATTTTGGTACATAAACTTCACATTTACAATCAAACTTTGTTGTGTCCAAAAACGTTTTCGTTTTTCTATTCGAAAATTGATTTTATAGCCTTTAGATGAACTCAAACAGCATTTTGAAAACTTACTCAATCTTCGAGGTAGTCTTTTTATTAGACTAACAGACATAACAGGCTTCGTTCGGCCCTGTCAATACATTGTGATAGAAGTCCCATGCCCTATTTCCGTACAAGATTTTTCTCTTCCGGTCCCAACTCTTTATGCCATTACCGTACCTCCACTATGTTTGCGTGTCAGCATGCTCATTTACACCCTTTGCCAACTCCCAACCCGCTCAGAGTTGGCAAAAAATCGATAAAAATCGATAGAATCAATATTCATCGCGAACGCAAAGTAGCCTATGACACCCAGCCCATTTGGAAGTGTAGCTTCGCAAAGTTTGGTCGGATCGGTTCGAAAATGGATTTTCTATCTGGAAGCTACTCAAAGAGAGGCAGACTTACATGTAGACTTTTCCTTCAAATGTAAGAAGATATTGATGCGATGGTTACCGTCCATCGCAGACACAAATGCAGAAAGACTAAATTTCAATTCACGACGTTTAACACCCTTACGAACCTCTGGTCTTGGTCTATCGATATACCTCGCGCTATCTGGTGAAGTCGCGGTGGCCATGCGATTTGAGAATTTGATGGTTAGGAATTTACCGGACGCAAATTTTATATGCTAATTTCAATGCATAGAGGCATAGCTCTTGTGAGCTGATGCAAAAATGCTGAATCTTGGTACTTTTCCCTTATCCGGACCAGAGGTGCGATAGTCGGAGCCGATTCTCCGCCTACCTTCACTTTTGAGCTGGTACAGGGTGACCACCTTCACTTTTCGGCTTGAAAAAGTTTTTTTGCTGAAGCTCAAAAGAAGGAAAATAAGCAAAAGGAATGTAAAAGAAAGTATTAAGAGCATATATCTATGTAGTAGGTCGATCCAGGCAGTAACCGCCGAGAACCAGAATTTCGAATGATAAAATAATAAAAAATCGTGAAAAATCATTTCACTGTTACAAATCTGCTGGCTGAAGACCTCCGCAGTTGCGACTTCATAGGTTTTGAAGGGTAAGTGTTGTTCTACCAGACAGTGAAAAAATCAGATTGATTTGAGGAGTGGCCGCCGAGAACGAGAATTTTGAAAAACCTTAAAAATCTGCTCAATTTTAGGTTGTTTAATGACAACTGACATTTAAACTATCATAAATCCGGACTTTGAAGGTGTGTGATGTTGCGACTTCATAGGTTTTGTAAAGTGAGGTTTGCCTTATCAGAACATGTCTTAGCTGTACCGATCCATTGAAACGTCGCCGAGATCCAGGCTCCTAAAGAAGCGGGTAAAAAACCGTTTTTCAGCTCATAACTTCTTCAGAATTGCATGAATCATGTTGCGACTTCATAGGTTGGATTCTCCTCATCAAGAGCTTTCAGATGATATATAATATGTGGGGGGTTCACGCCTTCCACGGCATATGCCCGGGGGTGGAGTACCTCTCTTCACTAATTCTCCACTGGCGGCCTCCCGCCAATACATTGAAATGGGCGGGGTGGAGAATTAGTGAAGAGAGGTACTCCACCCCCGGGCATATGCCGTGGAAGGCGTGAACCCCCCACATATTATATATCATCTGAAAGCTCTTGATGAGGAGAATCCAACCTATGAAGTCGCAACATCACACACCTTCAAAGTCCGGATTTATGATAGTTTAAATGTCAGTTGTCATTAAACAACCTAAAATTGAGCAGATTTTTAAGGTTTTTCAAAATTCTCGTTCTCGGCGGCCACTCCTCAAATCAATCTGATTTTTTCACTGTCTGGTAGAACAACACTTACCCTTCAAAACCTATGAAGTCGCAACTGCGGAGGTCTTCAGCCAGCAGATTTGTAACAGTGAAATGATTTTTCACGATTTTTCATTATTTTATTATTCGAAATCCTGGTTCTCGGCGGTTATTGCCTGGATCGACCTACTTTCTTTGCAGTACGTCATAACAAAATGTACTTGATGAAACACACAAAGTCTAGCTGGGTTTTACTTACAAATAGACCTTTTGACTAACAGTTTACTTTATTTTTATTTTTATGCGCTGTAGTCATCGTATTTGTGGCCCTAAAGAGGGCCGTTAGGTCACAGTTGTTGGCCCTAGGGGCCATTAGATGAGAGTTCTTCAGTTATCCGAAGTCCTCCCTCCCCCTACCCCCCCCCCGGTCAACGTTTTTGGGAGGTGAGTGTCCGACACTACCACCTTCACTTTTGGCCGGCCAGTGGTAACTGGAACCACCTTCACTTTTGGGGGGCCCGGCTCCACCTATCGCACCTCTGATCCGGACCCATTTTTTCAATGAAGGGTTTTTTTTCTGACCTTGTACCATAATTGCTCCCAAATTCACAGGAAGGAGTGTCAACCTTCTGCCACACGTCAAAAGCATTTGACATGTCATCTACACGTTTAACAAGTT